GTCAGGCTGCTTTGTTATTGAAGCTCTCGGCAAATAAACAAGCAACAAAACATGTTTTCACCCTGGCCTTCACCTGGAGGCAGGGATAGACAGGATGATTTGCCAGGGTCACTTCCTTTTGTTTGTGTGAGGATCACACAGACAGGGGGGTGGTAAACAAGTTTGACTTCTCCCTGGACTTCATTATATCAAGGTGCTTTGCTCTGACTATAAAAAGAGACTGTGGAATAAACTGGTGCCTAGTTCCTACTAGCAGCCCTCTCAAACGGATCCCACGTGTAGTGTCTTGATTTTTAAATTTTCTTTCAATCCTCACTCCCCACTCAAGAACTGTTCCACTCTGCCGGCGGGCTTCACCGTTTTCATTTTGTATTGGGCCCTGTAAACTATCTAGCTGATCCTAACTAGGACCTTCCATGAGGCCTTGGCTTTCTTAGGATGGGGTATCTGGGCCCCAAGAGAGGTGGTTTCAAGAGAGAAAGGTCCAGCCCTCCCTTTTATGACCTGACAGTAAGTCTTTTTTTTTTTATTGGCCTTGACAGTGTCTGTAGGAACAAGCAGTGTCCCCGGGAGACATCTGGTAACGGTCTTTGGAAAATGAAGCTTGCCACATCCCACCTAAGAGCCAGTCACATCCCACCCACCTGCAGATGGGGCCCAGGGGTTCAGTTCTGCCACATAGCAGCTTAGAACCTCAAGCCACTCACCATGTACCCAGGCAGTGGGCACCTATGTCGGCCATAGGACAGGCACCTGACTCGGGATCCCTACCTGTTCACTCCCCCGGAGGTCTGCAATCTGCTAGAGAGACAGAGACTCTGCCTCCTGACCTCTGTTTCTCCTGCCGGCATCTCTGCTTGACTGGCAGTTCCTCCTCTTTCTTTTCTCCCTGGGGCGTGTTGTTGCCTTTCTCATTAATTTCCCCTCCACTCCCAGCAAGGTCCCTAGACTCCTGAGCTTGGCTAATTCTCCTGTAATCCTTTGGCAAGCCAAGGAGCTAATTCAATTGTGAGCTTGTGTGCTCATGTTCTCTGGCAAGCATGGAGTCTCTCTTCTAATGTCTCCCATCACGTCCCTCTTTCCTTGCATAGTCCAAACTCATCTAAACACGGCCACTATTTTCTTCTTGGTAGGTTTTCTTCTCTCCTCTGTCCCTTATCTTTTTTTTTTTTTGTCTCTTTTCAATTGGCATGCGCAGCTCTCTCCCCAAGCTGCCGCCTGTGCCTCCTCCACACCCGTGTTCATATCATATTCTTACCTTTAATTGGGTCTTACCCCCTCCCCCATCTCCACCTGCACTCACCAAGTTAGAACCCTTGTTATTATGCAGAAAAGCTTTCTTCATGACACCTTTCCTGATCCCCACCACAGCTAGAAATGCCCCCTCTTTGAGGTTCCATAGAACTTTGTGACTCTGTCCTGACACAGAGCTCTTCTTGTCCATACCCTACTGTCCCACTAAAGGGTTGTCTCCTAGAGTCAAGGTCTAAGGCTCATGCATCTCAGCTTCTTCCTGGGTAGAAGATGCTCTACCACCCAGCCCTGTGCTTAGAACACTTCACTGTCAAGGTGGCAACTGTCCTTCATGCCCTCCTTCCAAGAAGGAAAGAAAAGGAGGAGAGCAGGAGTGGTCCAGCTGGCTGAGTTTGTCCCTTGAGGAGCACTTTCTGGGAGTCAGTGAAAGGCTCAGTAGGTAAGGCTCTTGCCACCTGAGCTTCATACCTAGAACCTACACATGGAAGGAGAGAACCAACTCCTTCAGTTGTACTCTGACCCCTCCACATATGTGCCATGGCACACGCATGCATGTGCACACACACATACACACACACACACACACATACACACACACACACACACACACACACTCCTGTGCATTAAATGTAAAAAGTAAATAAACAAATAGATAAAAACACTTTCTGCATGCTGGGCATGGACTCACATGCCTGTAATCCCAGCATTTGGGGAGTGGGGAGCGAAGGCAGGACAATCAGGAACCCAACTACATGGAGAGTTCAAGGTTAGCTTAGGCTACAAGAGATAGATTCCATATCAAAAAGGTAAATGAGATAGTAAGTAATAAGTTAAGTAAGTGTCTTAGTGAGGGATATGTTGCTGTGAGGAAACACCACGACCAAAAGCAATCTGGGAGGAAAGGGTTTGTTTTTCCTCCACTTCCACATCACTGTTCAGCGCTGAGGAAAGTCATGGCAGGAATTCAAACATGGCTCCATGGAACCCGAAGTTGGGAACTGACGCAGAGGCCATGAGGGAGAGCTGCTTACTCGCTTTCTCCTTATGGCTTCAATACATCAATCACTAATTAAGAAAGTGCCCTACAGGCTTGCCTGCAGCCAGATCTTGTGGGGGCATTTTCTCAACTGAGGTTCCTTCCTAGCCAATGACACTAGCTTCTGTCAAGTTGAGGTAAAACTAGCCAAGACACAAAGAAAGAAAGTTACTTTCTCCCATAGTGCAATCTGCTTATACCGCTTTGACTGTGTTTAGCTGCAAGAGAGACTGGATTCACTGCTCCCCCCAGGCAGGACAGCACCACCTCCCTCCACCCTTGATAACAAATAAAACCCAGAGTAGAGGAGGCTGCAGCCCTGTGTGAAGCAATGAATTCTGGAGCCAGACCCCATGCATCAAATTCTTTACCCCGCATTTGTAAAATTAGTTTAGTGCTATCTGCTTCTGAGGGTGGTAAGAAAAGTGAATATAATAAGAGCTGTGAAAAGCACCTAACATAATCCCAGGCGCACAGCAAATACCCAGTGTCTCAGGCAGACCGTGAGGCAAGAATCTGGGCTTGGAGGTTAGAGAGGTGGCCCAGAGGTTAAAAGCGTGTAGAGTTCAGTTCCCAGCACCCACGCTAGGCAGCTTACAACTCCAAAGAACCTGATGTCCTCTTCTGGCCTCTGTGGGTACATGCCTGCATGTATACACACACACACACACACACACACACAGAGAGAGAGAGAGAGAGAGAGAGAGAGAGAGAGAGAGAGAGAATTTGTGTTTAAATGGTTATTTAGAAGGAAATCTCAGGAAATAGGATGGGGCAAGAAAGGGAAGAAAATAAAGCAAGCAGATCTTACGGAGTCCTCACTAAAGGAGTTCTGAATTCTGCTAGAACATATCTTGGAATTGGGGATGGGAAGGCCCCCCCTCAGGAAGCAGGAAGCTGCAGTGTTCACTCCCAGATTCTGCCCTTCATTAGTTGCTGGAGGGTCTTAGCTCTCCATCACTTCCGGCCTTACATGCGTGCACCACCAAGAATGCTCCAGGAGAGAGCTGCAAATGGGAGTTAGGGTCAAAAACTGTGTGCTGGTAATATCTAGACAGGGGTGGGGGTGGGCATTATGGGTGAGAAGATGTTGGAGTGGAAACAGACCCTGCCAGCACCTGCTGCTTGAACTAGTGTGGTTTACAAAGCAAGAGCAAGCATAGAATACAAGCTAGCCTGGGCTTTTTTCACTGACATCTATTCCTAATTTCCTACCTGGTTTCTAAGGCCCTCCTGACTGCCCCTACACCCACCAGCTCCTGGCATTATTCCCATTGTGCCTTTCCTAGCCCACTGAAACCCTGAAGTAACCCCTACTGCCATGTTACCCATTTCCACCCCGTACCGACTCCTCTGGTGAGAGTTCTTCTATGTTAGGCATCAAATGTCTTCTAGCCCAGCTGGCATTTAATTGTGCTGCCTTCTCTCCTCCCCCACCGTCGTCGCCTGATTGAGGGGTCCGGTGGCTAAGGACAGCCACTGCTGTCACAGGGTGACACCTGGCCTTGCCCAACTCTCCCTTGCATTCCTGTGTGCCTCATCCCACCTTTAGGCTACCTACCTAACGCCCTCCCCACTGGCATGCTCCCCACTTCAAGACGAAGCGACACTGTGATCTGACACCAGACAGGTGTTTTGCCCGTGTCACCTTGTACCCATGCCTCTGCCCAGAATGCTTCCAGCCCTCCCTTTTGATTCAAGCATGTATTCACCCACTCACCCAACACCCGGGAGAAACTTCCCAAGCCCACATCCCTTCAGACAATAGCTGGGGCCAGGTAAGTTTACAGAAGGAAAACTCCAGAGGAGCCCCAGAGAGCGGCAGATCTTACGGGGGCCCGGGAGTGCGAGGCGGCAGATGCTGACCTCAGCCCTATGGCCTTGCTGGACTGACTCCTGCTATGTGGGCACAGCACCCCAGAAGGTTCATGTTCCATACAGGCCCCTTCCATTGTCCTTCTCAACCCTTTCCAGAAAAAAAGAAAGAAAGAAAAAAAGAAGGAAAGAAAGAAAGAAAGAAAGAAAGAAAGAATCCAGTCTGTTCCAAGGTCTGTTCTTTGTCCTTCTCAGAGGGTCTCAGGCTAATGTGCTGATGTCTGCAGCGTTGTCCTTCCTCCAGCCTCGCTAGCACACGTTTTAAGACTCAGAAGTGAGGAGAGGAAAGTGGGGCGTTTTCGCCTCTTTCTTTTCTGAGGACGTTGACCATGTATCCTCTTCCCTCAGACCTGCCCCAAGGCCACTCAGCCTGGACATCTGTCCCTTCAAAACCTCACCTCCTACTGCCCTTGCAGCCCAGTCCGTCCCTCTCCCCACAAACTGGAAAGCTATTCTGTAGGATGCCCTGAGCCATCCCTAGGTTGGCCTCGGTAGCGGCCTCGGTTTCCCCATCTGCTAAATCGGATCAATGACGCCTGCGCTCTTCGTGCACAAGATAAAGCTTGGGGTCCGCGAGTGAGGAAGGGTCCCGCGCTCGGCGCAGGCTCCGTGCGGCGCCCCAGGCCCGGCGGCTCGGCGCCCCTCCCTCGTCCTCCGCTCTCCCCTCCGCCTCCCCTGCTCCCCGCCCCTGCGCTTCTCGGCTTCAGCTTTTGCTGTCCTTCCCCCTGGCTCACGCCTCCCCGTGCCGGGGTCGCCACTCGCCGCTGCCCGAGTCCCTCGCCGCCCCCGCAGGCCCGGCCGAACCGCAGCGCGGGCGCCCGGCGCTCAACCCCGCGACCTCACGGAGCAGGATCGCCGGCTCGGACCGAAGCCACCCGCCCGCCGCCAGCCAGGTGAGAGCAGCCCGGAGGAGGCGGGGGCGCAGGCTTCTCTTCCGTGCGAATGGGGGCGGCGGGAGGCACGAGGGACCCGGTCCCTTTTCCTGGAGAGGAGGACCTGGGAGATTTTTTCATGAAAGAGGCTCAAGGGCTTTTACTCCGAAGAGACGGGCGGAGGGCAGGTCTCACGGAAAGATGGCTTTGGGGGGACCCCTTCCTAGGGCTTCTTTATTTTCCACGAGGAAGGGTTTATTGGCTGCCTCTGAAAGTGGGGCTCCCATTCTTGGAAGGATGCCGGACTTTCAAGGAGGAGAGAAGGGGGTTCTGGCGCTGCCGGAGCGCAGGGCTAAGTGGGCAGCAAGGCGCTGGGGGCTCGGACATGCCCCCAGCCGGACATCGCTGCACCGTCTCCACTGGTTCCGGGCTCTGGGTCGGTCTAGCCAGCTCCGTGTCCCAGTTTTTCTCTTTGAAGATGACTGTTTTGAGCTTCACCTGGACAGAGCTTTGTTGCAGCCATTTCCTTTCCTGGAGCTCTGACACCCACCTGACACCTTACCGTCCCCCTCTGACCTGCTGGGGGAAAAGGTGGTCAGGGGCAGGAATCCGGGGTTCCGGGATATGTGCAGCGAGTATGAAAGGAAGGAAGGTCACTGGACACACAGAAAGACCCTTTGGCGCTGAGGGCTCCATCAGACTTGGTAGGGAGATGGCAAAGGACAGGGTGAGCAGGAGCTTCAGGAGCAGATGAGCAAGGAAAGCTGTAGGGCAGGGGAGAGCAGCCACCACCAGGAGACAAAATGACAGAGGGTTTGCCTTTGTTTGCTTGCTAGCCTCCTCCTTCACTATAGAGGTTCCAACACTCACTCACTCACTCCCCTTGTCTTTTCTGTTTTAGCAAAAAGGGTCACTGAGGCGGGAAACACATTGGCTGGAGAAGCCTTTGTGTAAGAGGGAAAACTGATGAAAAGAACACTGAATTTGAAATTTAAAAAACAAAACTGTTTAAGGCTTACTTTAGTGCTGTGTGGATGACCTTGAGCCAAAACGTGGCCCCTTCTTTAGGCACTGGATTTCTCACCCATAAAATGGGAGAGGGTGTATCTATATGTCCGAAAGAGCATTGTAAGAAAGGAATAGACCAATCTCTTGCCAGATGTGGTTTCCACCACTACAGATGGGCCCCTTTCCTCCTCCCTACCCTCACCAAGTAACGGGTAGGACATCTTCATGAGAATCAGAAAAGTACCCTTCGGGAAGGAAGCACTGTTTGGCTGGACTCGAGGTCTTTATTGTGAGGCTCAAAGGGCAGAGCATTGTATTACAACAGCTGGGCAGGTGGAATGCAAGCTAGATTCCAGTCCTCGGGTGCACATCCAGGTGTGGGGCACAGCTGCCCTCACATCTGTAAGAGACACAAGGCTACACACACTCCCAGGGGACTGCCCAGAAAAGCTCCATGTCCCAAGCTGTCGCTAGCTTCCTTCCTGCTTGCCTCCACTTTGGAGCCTTCGGTCGGTAAGGCTTCAGAGCCTCTGCCCTACTTGAGAGCATGATGGAGTCCCATCATCAGAGTGACCCCAGGGACTGGATGCCTTCACCAAGCTCTCCTGTTACTGAGGCTCTGACCGCTTACATCATTAACGTGATCACATCACTTTTCCCAGGGGAAACAATAGAAGCATCTGGACACCTGGGATGGTCTGAACCTGTACAGACCATGTTCACAATTACTGTCCGGGTACGCTTACCACAAGTTCGTGGGAGGGCCTCCATCATTCCAGTTACATGGATGAAGTCTTTCTCGGAGTTTAAAAAAAAAAAATGCCTGAGGTGACTGGGGCATGAGTTAGTGTCAGAGTGCTTGTGGTTTATTACCTGAGGCTGGTACCCAGATCTAGTGCCCATCCGCTCCATCCTACCACCACCACCACCGAACAGAGCCGATGACTTTGAACTTCCCTATCCTGCCAAAGCCCTGCCAGTTTTATTTCGTCCTCTCTAGCCTCAGCAGTTGTGGCTCTCTCCTTCCCACAGGAGCCAGCCTCCAAGCACAAATGCACAAAGGGAGTTATCATCTCCCTTAAAAATTAAAAGAAATTTATGTATATGGGTGTTTTGCTTGCATGTGTGTCTATGTACCGTGTGTGCCTGCTGCTACTGGAGGCCAGGAGAGGGCATCAGATCTAGAGTTATTGATGGTTGTGAGCTACCATGTGGCGCTGGGAAATTAAACTTGGGTCCTCTTGAATGGCAGTTAAACTCTTAACTGCTGAGCCGTTTCTCCAGCCCCTCCTTACCTCATTCTGTTTTCATAGAAAAGGCACTAAGTCAAAGCCCGGCCAGACCTCTGCAGTGCAGGAAGTACCCCGGGGAAGTCTAGAGACCCTGTGGGTAGGCGGCCAGGAAAGGTTAGAGAGCAGCTCTCTCTCTCTGGTCACTCCTAGATAAGACTTAAAACGCTGTCATGGAAATTGACACAAAGAGCCAGTGTCTATTGTGAAGGGCAGGCCGAGGACCAGAGCAAAGCCAGAGGGAATGCATCAGAAGTGCTGACTGTTGGAAACTTACACTGTAACACTCAGAGAAGGGGTGAGGAGAGAGGACAGGGCAGTAGGCCTCATGACCCAGAACACTTAAGCATGTCTAGGGCGCGGGCGCCAGGTCTTATTTGCAAAAGGATTCTCATGTTTAAAAACAAAAGTCTGTAGAATTACCAGCCTGATCCAATGGTTATGAAAATGTGAACTCTGGACCAGCTAAGGATACTATTAGACATGCCAATTCTCGGGCCTCGGGCCTGACTTAATAAATTCAAAGGCAGGGTACTGTAATAAGCCCTCCAGGTGAGCCTGGGGCACCATAAGCGAGAAGTAATGACCTAGTCCAAGCATGAAGAATAAACGGAGAGCAAGTCATGGGTCAAGAGCAAGGCTGGGTGCAGAAGGTGGCGGCGGCAGCTGCCCAACCCTCCTCCCCTGCCCGGGTCTTCTCTCCCCTCCCAGGTGCCATGCTGCTGCTCCTGCTGGGCTTCCTAAGCCCAGCGGCCTGCTGGGCACTGGGCCAGGTTGGCCCTGGCTCCTCGGAGCTGCGGTCGGCCTTCTCGGCGGCTCGCACCACCCCGCTGGAGGGCACGTCGGAAATGGCGGTGACCTTCGACAAGGTGTACGTGAACATCGGGGGCGACTTCGACGCGGCCACCGGGCGGTTCCGCTGCCGCGTGCCCGGCGCCTACTTCTTCTCCTTCACCGCGGGCAAGGCCCCGCACAAGAGCCTGTCGGTGATGCTGGTGCGCAACCGCGACGAGGTGCAGGCGCTGGCCTTCGACGAGCAGCGGCGGCCGGGCGCCCGGCGCGCCGCCAGCCAGAGCGCCATGCTGCAGCTCGACTACGGCGACACGGTGTGGCTGCGGCTGCACGGAGCCCCGCAGTACGCGCTGGGCGCGCCGGGCGCCACCTTCAGCGGCTACCTGGTGTACGCCGACGCCGACGCGCCTGCGCAGGGGCCCGCGCCGCCGGAGCCGCGCTCGGCCTTCTCCGCGGCGCGCACGCGCAGCCTGGTAGGCTCGGACGCGGGCGCCGGGCCGCGCCACCGGCCGGTGGCCTTCGACACCGAGCTGGTCAACATCGGCGGCGACTTCGACGCGGCGGCCGGCGTGTTCCGCTGCCGTCTCCCCGGCGCCTACTTCTTCTCCTTCACGCTGGGCAAGCTGCCGCGCAAGACGCTGTCGGTGAAGCTGATGAAGAACCGCGACGAGGTGCAGGCCATGATCTACGACGACGGCGCTTCGAGGCGCCGCGAGATGCAGAGCCAGAGCGTGATGCTGGCGCTGCGGCGCGGCGACGCCGTCTGGCTGCTCAGCCACGACCACGATGGCTACGGCGCCTACAGCAACCACGGCAAGTACATCACCTTCTCCGGCTTCCTGGTGTACCCCGACCTCGCCGCTGCCGGCCCGCCGGCCCTCAAGCCCCCCGAGCTCTGAGCCTCTGCTTGAAGGAGCCGGGGAGGGCCATGGGGCATGCATGCCGAGCCGGGACCGCGGCCCGAACGCCCCACCGGCCAGAGCATGACAGCCTGCCCGGCATTCCTGGACTCTGCCAATAAAGTGGGGCTGCCCCTGTCAGCCCTTACGGCCCTGCCCTGTGTCATGAATGTGAAGCCTTTGCCTCCTCCCTTCCTCTCCCCAGGATGACACAGACCGCAATGACTAGGACAGCACATAGGGCCTAGCTGGGGGTCAAGCCTGTGAGAATTGGAAGTTAGGGAATTGATGCTATTCTAAATTCAAGTAGACCTCGCCTTCATGTCCACGACTAGTGCATCTCTCCATCTGACTTTTCACTGACCCGTGGGCCCATATTATGCCTTTCTTTAAGAAGCAGCAACATCCTACTACTCTAACCCACTAGGAACACAGGATTCAAGGAAATGGCATGTTCCTTCTTTCAGTAGGGCATAAGACTGAGATGAAGGACTGATACCTCCCTCCTGCCCTCCCAGAATGGGGTGAGTGATTTGCTCAGAACACGTGTCAGTGTAAGTGGGCTTAGACACAAAACCAAGATGGGCTCTGGGAGGCCAAAACAGAATCAGGGCTCTAACCATGCACAAGTGTGTGAGCCAGACTTCTCCCAGCTTTATTCCTTACTCAGAGGTGTTACATGTGAGGCTGGCTTGAGACAACACATTTTTTTTTTCTATCCACTTCACAAAGAGGTAATGTTTTCCCACTTTTCCCTTTACTCCTCCGTAAATAGAGCTGTTGAAATCCAATCTCTATTCCCAGGCCACGAGGGGACTTAGCAAGCTCAGAGACCACTGAGCTTTTGTTAACTTTGAAATGAGTATATTAACACTGGGTGATGCTGGGCGCAGTGGCTCATGCCTGTAATCCCAGCATTCGGGGAGGCAGAGGCAGGCGGATCGCTGTGAGTTCAAGGCCAGCCTGGTGTACACAGTAAGTCCAGGACAGCCACGGCTACACAGAGAAACCCTGTCTCAAACAAAAAGAAAAAAGAAAAAAAAAAAAAAGGACTGGGTGACAATCAACATACATGGTCCCTGTGTCTCACAGTACTGCCACGGTAGGAGTTAGAGGACCTGACCTGATTTTACTTTGGGGGCAGCTTTTCTTTAGCGTGTATTAAACAGACTTTTCAATCTTGACCTCTGGACAGACATGCATGAACCCGTTGCCTGACGGTCTTGCCCTTAGCACTGTGCTTATTGCCTAGACCCAGCTGGGTGTAGGAAACAAGACAGGATAGGAATAAGCATGGGTGGTCAGGAGCCAGGGGCTACAATAGGCTCAGAGATCTGAAAAGGAGGAACCAGGAGCCAGATGGAGCCCCTGCCTGGGATGGGGAAAGGGTGAGGAAAAAGGGAAGGGTCAGGGGGATATGGTCAAGGATGGAGACCCAACACCCCAAAGAAGGGGCTGGCCCTGGGGCACAAACCCTTGCAAGGTCCCAGCATGTTTCCTGTGCCAAGAGGGCAAAGACCTAGGCCCAATGACCCCTTTCCTCAGCCTCACTAGCCCTATGGAGCCAATAGACAGGACAAGCCTGAAAGGAGCAGGTGCTTGAAATCCCAAGGGCTAAGGGAAGGCCCAAAGATCCTGGAGTTCGTGAAGCCATCATTGCTGAGCACCTTCCAAGTCCCTGGGCATGTTGGTGCTGCAGGTCAAGCCTAAGTCGATGGCCTGAATCTGTGGATCCAAGCTCCTCATCCTCAATGTACAGCTTTCCCATGATTTCCAGTTCCAACTCAGCCTAGAGCAGCTGCCACGGGGAGCTATTTTGGGGTGGGCTGTCTTTAGGGATCAGGTATGGGAGCAAGAGTGTGCATGGAGTTGGGGAGGCCATAAGCTAGTAGTGGGACCCATGCTGGTTGTTCCCCACCCTGGACAGTTCTACCCTTCTTAGTCTCCTTCTAAACCCTGAATTTAGGATACCTGGACCCTCGCACCTCATAGTCCAAGCTAGGAAAAATAACCTCAAGCATCACTTCTGGGTCCTTTGCCTCCTGCAAGCCACCTCTCTCGATGGTGCTGTCCATGGATTGCCCTGGCGCAACAGAGAGGAATCAGATTCCTGCTGTCTTCCACTCTGAACACCCAGCCTCCCAGATAGGCTCTTCTGCTGCCCAGGAGGCATATTTATCAGAAAAGTGCAGGATGCCATCTTGTGCCCCTTCCCTATTCCAAATGCACATATATGCATGCTGATGTCACCTTTCCAGGCACGCCAAGCCTGACTGCCCTCTTGGCAGATACCTAACATAATAACTCCTATGACTTGCACAATGCCCATAGGCTTCCCACACCACCACCCACTACAATGCACATCAGTCTGGTACCCACCAGGCCCCCAGTTCCTCCTCTGGCATGTGAGGATCAAAAGAACCAATTGTACCTGCTGTCAGTCAGCAGCCTTTTCTTGGCTCCCAGACACCCATCATGAAGCCTGTAGCTGCATCATCCTGAAGTCACCCAAGCGAGGAGACCAAGGGCTACCACTAGACAAAGCAGGACTGTAGTGTCCCAGCCATGTCCCCTGACTTCCCCAGCAGCTCTCCGCTCCCTCATCTGCCTACCACAGCTCCAACTTCCCACTGCAGGCTACTCCTGCATTCCTTTACGTGTCACTCTTCAAAGCTGAGTAGGGAAGGGCTGCCTATGGCCTCATTCACCTCCTGGTGGCTATTTTCACCCCTCAGAGATGGGGACTCTTCAGTTTTGGCAGAGCAGCATCTTGCTCAGATGGGTAAGATGTTTAGCTAATAAGACAACAGCTTCAGCTTGACCCTTGTGATGTATGGGATACATCACAGGCAGCAATGCTATTTTCCTGTCTGTTCTCTCACTGATAACATCTTGCTGCAGAAGCCAGCCGGACACTCAGTCCAACCTGACACCTAGTCCAGCCAGCCTCCAGGGCTCCTTAGCTGCCAAAAGCATCAGCTGCATGTCCAGTTCTCCAGCTGCGTCATGGGTAGAACAGGAGTGCCCATGGGAGGCGCTCAGCACAAAGCCAACAGACTAGACTCTAGAGCAACTGGAGAAGGGAGCATTGTCTAGAGGGCAGACAGATAACTTTAGCTCCACAGTGCTTTTTGCCACAGCTTTGATAACTACTTACTAACAACTTTCTAGGCTTAAACCAGAAACTGGGAAGATTCCTTTAGCTTAAGAGTAAGTGGGTCTTACACTTGGCTTACGGAACCCTATGAATGTTTAGGTGGGAGGACAGTAAATTGGGGTTTTTCTGGCCCCACCCAGGCCCCTGGATCTATCAGCTGTCGCCACACAGTCTGCTGAGATAAGGGCTTTCTTCAGCAGTTTCAAGGCCCTCCAGTTGTCACTAGAGACTATTCTGAACCTTAAGGACTGTGAAAACTGAATTACAGCTCCAGACCCCTCTAGAAACACATCCGGGCCCACAGATCACAATGTCTGTGACTGCAGCACATAGCCCCATTAAATACACAGCTGTGGCAGGGAACACTTCCACCTCGTACCTGCCCTCTCGAGTGTGTCATTTCTACCCATTAGCAGCACATGAGGAACTGGGGAAGAGGGATGGCTCATGAGGTCAGAGTACTTGCTGCTGAGCCTGATGACCTGAGTTCAATTCCCAGAATCCAAATTATGGGAGAGAGACACTCCTGAAAATCACCCTTACCTCACCTATGCAGCCATCCCACCAAATAAGTTAATGTTCTAAAAATACACACAGGAAGCCCAGCACTGGTGGCCCATGACTTTTTTTGTGTGTTTGTTTTTGTTTTTTGAGATAGGGTTTGTGTGTGGCCTTGGCTATCCTGGCTGCTGCTTTAAAGTCATGGGCTGCCAGGCTTGCTGGTGGTGCTGGTGGTGCTGGTGGAGTACTCCCAGCACTCGAGGACAGAGACAGATGGATCTACATGTTTGAGGCTAGCCTGGTCTACAGAGTTATTTCTAAGACAGCCAGGGTTACACAGAGAAGCCCTGTCTTGGAAAAAAAAAAAAACTAAAACAAAAAACTAAACAACCTACCACAGAGGAAGGGGTGAATGTCCCTAGGGAGTTTATTTATACAGACAAGCACAGATAAGGAATTTTCCCTCTAGGACACATGCTTTTGGAGCTACTTGGCTTCAGGTTTCTTGTCTCCAGCTTCAAGCTTGAGACTCTCAGGTTGCTGACGGTAGGCAGGAAAGGCCTCCCAGGGGCTGTTCAGGTCAAACTTGCGGAATTCTTGTGCCAACTCCACTGGCTCAGCCACTATCCGCTTCACCTCATCGTCGTAACGGAGCTGCAGGAGCAGAAGTTAGGACTGATGATTGAGGAGCTCACTTCACATGACTCTGGGCGACTCCTGCAGCCCCTCCCCCTCTCCCCTTGACCTTCAGTACACTTTACAGGCTGCCACTCCACACCCATACACACTAGCATCTGCTCAGACGTTCTCATAAACTACTTGAGGGATTCCAAAATGGCCTTTACTTTTTACAGGCTGCCAATCTGTTGACCTACTACCCTGCCCCCTCCCCCACAGCACAACTTGAGCTCTGAACTATTGGCTACCAGACTTGCTAGTCACCCAACCATATACCTTAAAAGCTAATAGCGAGAACTGATTTCAGATTAGGCGCAGTCAGTAGCTGCAGAAAGTATATTTAGGCAAGGAGTGGTGGTGCTCTCCTTAGTCCTAGCACTCAGAAGGTGAGAATCTCTGTTGAGGCCAGCCTAATCTACATAGTTCCAGGACAGGCAAGGCTACACAGAAACGCTGTCTTGAAAACAGATTAAGAAACAAATAACTAACTAAACTAACAGTCACACAACTTCAGCCCTGTGGCCTTAGCGCTGTCACTGTGAAGAACTAAAGCTGTAGGGACTGGAGAGATGGCTCAACAGATAGAACACTTACTACTCTTGAGAGACCTGAGTTCCCAGCCCACATGCAGCTTACAACTGCCTCTAACTCCAGCTCCAAGGGAAATGAGACGTCTTCTGTCTCTGAGAGCATCTCTGTGCGCTCTCCCCCCATACAAACACATTCCAACACACACACACACTTTAAAAATCTTAGCTGGACTGGGCAGTGGTGGCACATGCCTTTAATACCAGAACTCAGGAGACAAAGGCAGGTGAATCTCTGAGTTTGAGGCCAGCCTGGTCTAGAGAGTTCCAGGACAGCCAAGTCTAAAAAACAAAACAAAATACCAACAAAAACAAAATAGAGAGAAACCCAGTCTTGAAAAACAAAAACAAAAACAACAAAAAAATCTTAGCCGGGCATGGTGGTGCACACCTTTAACCCTAGCACTCAGGAGACAGAGGCAGGCAAATATCTGAGTTCGAGGCCAGCCTGAACTACAAAGCAAGTCCAGGACAGCCAAGGCTACACAGAGAAACCCTGTCTTGAAGAAAAAAAAAACAAAAAACAAAAAAACTTAACCCAAACCAAAACTGTAATTATAATTGCAGAACTTGAAAGCCTGAGGCAGGAGTATCTCTGTGAGTCTGGGACCAGCCTGAGCTACAAACACTCTGCCTACATACATCCCCACCAGGCTGGCCTCAAACCCACAGAGATCGCCTGCCTGTCTCTGAGTTCTGGGATTAAAGGCGTGTGCCACCACTGCCCAGCTTTTTTTTTTTCTTTCTTTCTTTTTGAGACAAGGTTTAATTATATAGCCTCTGGTCGCCTGGAACTCACTTTGTAGACCAGGCTGGTCTGGAATTCATGAGATAGCTGCCTGCCTCTGGCTAGGTCCTGGGGTTAAAGTCATTCACCACCATTGGTCTACATCCATCTTTTTAAATGCATGTTGGGATCCAAACTCAGGTCCTCGTGCTTGTGCAAGAGGCACTTTGCCAACTGAGCCATCTTCCAGCCTTCCACTTATTAACAGGCCCTTGCCATGGCCAGTCTGGCCTTAAATACATCCTTCTCAGCTTCCCTAGTGTTGGAATCATAAGAACATACCAGTGTACCTGGCCCGCAGTAGCCATTCCTTTGTTGTTGTTTTTAATTTATTTATTTTTATTTTATGTGCATTGGTATTTTGCCTGCATGTATGTCTGTGTGAGGGTGTCAGATCTTAAGTTATAGACAGGAATGAGCTGCCATGTGGGAATTGAACCCAGGTTCTCTGGAGGAGGAGTCAGTGCTCTTAACCACTGAGCCATCTCTCCAACACTTGTTTTGTTTTTATGAGACTTGGTTTCTCTCTGTAGCCCTGGCTTTCCTGGAACTCACTCTGTAGACTAGGCTGGCCTTGAACTCAAGAGATCTTCCTGCCTCTGTCTCCTGAATTCTGGGATTAAAGGCATGCGCCAACACCTCCTGGCTTTAAGTTGCCATTCTCAAGGGCTGAAATTTTAATATCTTCTCTGCCAAATCCCTTTAGTTCTTCAAGTTTAGAAATTGGGACAGACTGTATCTTTGAGGTTGCCTCAATCATAAAATGATCATTACAAGGCAACCCATTTTGAGAACCCCTCCCTGATTCAGACATTTATTCTAATCAATAAACCTTGTTTACAAGTTGGTGGTGGTGTAGACCTTTGATCTCAGCACAGGGAACAGAAGACAGGCAGATCTCTATGAGTTTGAAGGCAGCCTGGTCTTCAGAGTAAGTTCAACAGCCAGGGCTACAAAGAGAAACCCTGTCTCAAAAACCAAAAACATAAAAAAAAATAATAATAATAAATTAAAAATAAAAAACCTTGTTTGCAGCCAGGCCAAAAAATAAATAAAATATAATATAATAAAAACCCACCATCAAAAAATAAAGTGAAGCTGGGTGCAGTGGTGCACGCCTGTAATCCCAGTACTCAGGGAGGCAGAGGCAGGCAGATCGCTGTGAGGCCAGCCTGGTCCACAAAGCGAGTCCAGGACAGCCAAGGCTACACAGAGAAACCCTGCCTTTTCCTGAAAAACCAAAAAAAAAAAAAAAAAAAGACAGACAGAAAAATGATAACAAGGGGCTAGAGAAATGGTCATTAAGAGCACCACTATTCTTCCAAGACCCAGGTTCGATTCCCAGCACCAACATGGTGGATTATAACCCTCTGAAACTTCAGTTTCAGGGCATCTGGCATACCGTCTTCTGGCTTCCACAGGTACCAAACACACATATACATACATGCAGGCAAAATCATATACGTAAGTAAATCTTAAAAAATAAAATGTAATAATAATTACAATAGTGGCTAACTTTAACATTTACTATATACCAGGCTTTATATGTCACTTAATGCCACCACATAGTTAAGGGCTTACTGTTTCCATTATACAGATGAGAAAACTGTCCCTTGGCTAATTCAAATAACTTGCATCCCATTACAAAAATGAAACTAGGGCAGCAGCTCAGGCTCTTACACCACCATAGTCTACTGAGCATATTCCCATCCTGCTCATGGCCTCCCAGGCTCTGTGACTGCTACCCAGTTTTAAGGTTTGTTACCTCAACATAGCCAGAGAGAGGAAAGTCTTTCCGGAAAGGATGTCCCTCGAAGCCATAATCTGTCAGGATCCTTCTTAAGTCAGGGTGGTTAAAAAAGAAAACTCCAAACATGTCCCAGACCTAAAAAAGAGGGTTCTTTGGAAACCCGTCCGGGCCAGCAGCAGAGGATTTGTACTGCACCACAACGCGTAGTTACAATGCTGGACCTCTGACCCAGAGGCAGGGCCCACTACACCCAGTAACTCACCTCCCTCTCATACCAGTTGGCGGCCTTGTGCACAGACACTACAGACTCAATGGGGGTCAGTTCATTTGCATAGGTCTTCACACGGATCCTCGTGTTGAAGCGCATAGACAGCAGGTTGTAGACAATCTAAGGTGAGAAGGAGCTGGAGGAACAAGGTGGCTATAGGATGGGGGTCTGAATGAGAGCTTCAGTTATTAAGATAAAATTAGTCAGATTCCACCAGTCACCCTGCATTCTCTACAGAGACTTACAAAAAGGCTTAGGCCACAACCGCAGCTCTGTAAGTTAGCCACTGTGTCTTCCCCGTGGAAGCTCTCCCTGCTCACTTGCCCTAATCCTCACTAGGTTAATTTCTGTTATTCTGTTCATCTGTTAAGATCAACACAAGAATTGAGAAGGCTGAGGCAGGAGGACTGCTTACTTCAAGGTCAGTTTGGATGATATAAGGTGACCTACTAAGATTTGGCACAACTGTTCTCTGTATCTAAGGAGCCTCCCAGGCTGCATGTCCTTCTGAGTATGCTTGATCTTCTTTATAATTTTAAGTGTGGTGATGTGAGTGTGTGCACAGCCTTGGTTCAGTTCAGAATGCACAGTGTGCATTCTGGGGCTAGAAAAAGTTTGTCAGGTTTGCAAAGCAAGCATGCCTATCTGCTGAGCCATCTTGCTAGCCCCCAATTTAACTTCTTGCCAGGAGTTATTGTAGTATAACTTATTAGCACTTCTATTTTATAACTTTTCATCTAATACATACTTTTTTTTTTTAGATAGGGTCTCACTATGTAACCTTGGCTGTTCTGGAACTTGCTATGTAGACTAGGCTGGCCTCACACTGAAAGGTATATGATACTATACCTGGTTTTAATAGGTATGTTATTTGGCTATTATATCAGTGCTCATGTTTTAAACAAAACCCCTGTCATGATTTTTAAAGTAAATCATATTATTACCTTAAAATAGACCATAGTTTGTAACACACTGAGGGTTTTCATGTGGGCTCAGCTTTGTTCATGTTGACTGCAGAGATGTTTTAATTTCCTATACACAAGTTTGCTTAGTTGTTGTTGTGCTGATGTTTGTTTTTCATGGTCAAGGTTAAATACGCTAATATATAGTGTCTTTTTTTTGGTGCTCCTGGTGCTGGGATTTAACCCAAGATTCTGTGCATGTTAGGCTTGTGCTCTGCCACTGAGCAATACTGCCAGGCCCCCAAACTTATTTTCAATTACTTCTCTCACAACTCCTTCCTGAGTTCTTTGCTTTGAGTAATTATACCTGCAATGATAAGGAGCATTCTAAAGTCACCAACATAAATTCTACTTTAATATTATATGATCTTCCAGTTCTACTAGTTAACAGAAAAATAAATCCAAGACCAGCCAAAAAAGATCCTCTTGAACCATATAATAGCAAATCCCCAACTGTGGGTATAACTCAATGGTAGAGTGCTTGACCAGCAAGCATAACGCTCCAGGGTCAATGCCCAGTGTACACACATACACGTGTGTAAACATTATTTACATGTTTATTTTTTTGAGACCAGTTTTGCCTGTCCTGGAACTTGCTATGTACTCTAGGCTGGCTTCAAGCTCACAGGGATCTGCCTGCCTCTGCCTCTGCCTCCCAAGTGCTGGGTGCATATGCCACCATACCCAGCATAAACTTAATTTCTATAAAACCAAGCAGAGCATGATGACATGGACCTATAGTTCCAACTATTCAGTAAGCTGAGTAGTTCCAGGCCAACATAGTGAAACCCTGCCTTAAAAACAAAGAAAAAGATGGAAAACGAAAAGAAGGAATCCAATAACCAAAAATGAACAAAAATCCTGCTGTGCTCTATGTAACCCAGGCTGAAAGTGAAAATGAGGAGACTCTGGTTTCCATGGCAGCTGTCACTCAGGAAATCTATGCCCTTTCTTACCTGAACTCTAAATCTCACCTATCTTTTTTTTTAAGTTAGTATCTCAGCTCATCCTGCCCTAGTTTTCCTTGAACTTCCTGTGTAGGTGTAAATGACCTTGAACTGTCCTCACACCCCAAGGGCTAAGTTAGATGTGTACCAATCCACCAATACTGCTGGAGATCAAACCAGGGCATTGTATGTGCTAGGCAGGACCCTACCAACTGGGCTACATATCCTAGCCCCAAATCTCTCAATCTCTCTCTCTCTTTTCTCTGGGTAACAGCCCTGGATGTCCTGGAACATTCTTTGTAGACCAGGCTAGCCTCAAACTCACAGAGCTCCACCTGCCTCTGTCTCCCCAAGTGCTGGGACTAAAGGTGTGCACCACCACACCCAGCATCCCAAACCTCATATTTAACTGACCTCAAAACGGTTCTGCCTGGTTGGGACATCCACTGCCGTCAAGTCAGCCAATGATTTGAACTGTGCATTGGTGTGGTCTCTGAGGAAAGTCAGCACTGGGATGACTCCATCAGGATGGATACAGATTTCTAACTCATTAAGGCAGGTCACCTGCAGATACAGAAAGGCATCGTTCGGAGAGGAAGTAGCTGCTACGGAGTAGCTGATTTCAGCAGGAGTCACATAGTTTAAGGTGGGCGGTTTACAACTTTCCTAATGCTGTGACCTTTAATACAGTTCTTCATGTTGTGGGAAGCCCAACCATAAAACTATTTTTTTTTTTTTGTTGCTACTTCATCACTGTAATTTTGCTACTGTCATAAATCGAAACATAAATATGTTTTCTGATGGTCTTCGGAAATCCCAACTGGGTTACAACCCACAAGTTAAGAACCACTGGCTCAAGATGAAGAAATAAGTGACATGGTGGATTCCTGACCCAGACCCGAGGCCAATGAGCATTACCTGAACTTGTTGGACATACTTGGGTAGGATTTCAGCCACATACTCTCCAAATGCTGAGAGCTGCTTATGGGCCACATCATTCCATGTTCTGACAGTGGCTGGAAAGCAAAAAGCATAAAGAGAAAAGGTAGCAACCAGCCTCTAGTCTTTCAAACTTAAAATAAATATATAGTTTTTGTTTTTTTTTTTAAAAAGGATTTGCTCTCAATAGGACTTTCTAAAGAATCTTCATTTTTTTTTTAAACTGCTTAGGGAGACAGATCTAACTCACTGTGAGTTAGAGGCCAGCCTGGTCTACAAAGTCCAGGATAGCCAAGGTTGCACAGAGAAACCCTGTCTTCAATGGACAAACAAAACACAAAAACAAAAAAACAAAACTTACTTTTGGGCTGGAGAGATGGCTCAGCAGCACTGGCTGCTCTTCTAGAAGTCCTGAGTTCAATTCCCAGCAACCACATAGTGGCTCACAACCATCTATAATGAGATCTGGTGCCCTCTGGCATGCAGGTCTACATGCAGACAGGGCATTGTCTACATAATAAAAAAATCTTAAAACAACAACAACTTACTTTCATTTTGGTGTTTTGCCTGCATATATGGCTATGTACACACAAGTGCCTGATGCTCACAAAGGCCAGAAGAATGTCAGATCCCCTGAGACTGTAGTTATAGATGGTTGTGAACTGGCATGGGGTTCTGGGAATCAAATCTGGGCCACCCCTTCAAGCCCTCTCTGAAAAATCTTAGGGGCACAGGTACAAAGTACCTTCCAGGGATTAGGGAGAGATTAAAACTCGGGGGAAACAGCACTTCTCTTTCACAGTACAGAGAGACTTGTTACTGTAGTTGGGGATCTTTGCTTCCTTTCTACATAATTCCACAGCTGTTTCTCACACTTCTTGTATTCATGAAAACAAAGCAACAGTTTCAGCTCTCCTATCAAACTCAGAGCTCTTTAAAGATGGGAACCAGACTTCTGTTTCTCTTTCTCTCCTTGGTAATTGCTTATACCACATTCTTAATCAAAGAACTAAAGTGCTGAAGAATTCTGAAAGATTCTCTCATTGCCCACACTCCATTGTCAGTCCCTTTGTGTATCAATAAGAAAATAGATGTCCAGAGGTGGAAAAAAATCCAGGTTCTCGGTTTCCCAGTGTGATTCTATTGACTGAAATTAAAATCACCACATGGTCATTCAATTACTTGAGCACCCACACATCACAGTATCAATAAGTATTTTCTGCAGTGGGAAAAAGGCAGACCTGCATTGTCAGTCACTGGAGCTGTGAACTGAACAATCTAATTATCTGGACTGTTTCATGATCTATACATCTATATGGACAGAAAAATACTATGCATCTCACGAGGTTGTTATGAAGTTCAAAGGAGATCATTCACTATAAGCCTCAAAGCCTTAAGGTACCTAGTAAGTACTAAATTGATGTGAGCTACTAATATTCTGGACTTTGGGTCTCAAAAGTTTTGTTGCCTGCCCTCAAAGAGCTGACAGTTTAATCGGAGAAAGAATCAAGAAAACGGGCAGAGGGCGATCAAGATCGGGAGGGAACAAGTATCTAGCACACAGGAAGTTCTCGATTCTAACAGAAGGTGGAGACCATAGCAATCTCCAAGGACAAGCAGAGATTTGACAGGAGGGAAGGGCATTCCAGGGCAAGGACAAACGTCAGATAGAAACAATGAAAGGTCCCTGCTAACGTTGCAGAGAAAAGCGGTGTTCGCACATACTCACGGCGCGTGTCAGCTGCCTCGCTCTCCCTCCTCACTCGCTGCAACGCTACAGAGGATCGCCCAGCCCCTGCACAGGGAGATAAAAGGCACAAAGGCGCGGGTAAGACCCGAGGAGGTCTCCGTGCTAGGTACGCCCATGGTCTCAGCCTGATGTTCCTTGCTCACCCCTAGCTAAGGAAGCGGCCGCCCCGAGCCTACGCCACCAGACCCTGGCTGCGGCAGCCGCCATATTCTGCAAGGTGCCTACAAAGTAGCGGGAGAACGCACAGGCCACGGACCCTCAAGGGCACGGGCCGGAAGTGGAAATGTGCAATGGATCTTCTTCCGGGCAGTCGCGGGGCGGGAAGCAGAGGTTCCGGATCTGGGTACTGGCATGAAAGGAAGTAACGCAGGTAAGAAAGACCCGCAGGTGGGGAAACCGTGAAGTGTACGTAGCCCTAGCAGGGCACAGCGGTGGCCGAAGAGAAGAAGACGCAAAGAATCGTACGGGTGAGAGAAAGGGACAGGGTGGGCGTTCTGGGTCCTAATTTCCACACCGCTCCCCAGCTCCTGAACTAAGCTTTTGATGAGGTGGGTGGGGGGAGACGATGGACAGTTTCCTTGGAGACCGTTTCCTAGGCGACTCTAGGTGGCGCGGTCAGGTTGCACAGGGTTATGGACTTACTTGTGCCCCCGGCCTGGGACGGCTGGGCACTCCCGAGCTTCTTTAGGAACTCATTGGGGCGAGTAGGTAAGTAGGGAACAGCAGCTTAGAAAAGAGTAGAAGTGGAAGTAATGGATGTCCAGGCCCAGGCCTCAGGATCGGAATGTCTGCACTATTATGTCCGGGCAAGGAGGGAATTAACCACAGTAACTGGATGTCTTGTTTTATTTACTTTCTTCTTCTTTAATTATGCTTCCTCAGAGTCTCACTAGTTGTATATCCAAATAATTTGGTTTTAAGCTCATAGACTTCCTCTTTCATCTCTTTCATGGGCTGACCCAAGTCCTAAGTTCTTTGTTACATTATCATCAAGAATATCAGATTTTCCCTCAAGGAAAAACAACAGACATGGAACTTTAATTGAATTCATTGGAGGCGAGGACAAACTGCAGGAATGTCATAGACCATGTTGGCAGGGCCAGGAATAAGGCCAGTCTGGATCCACTTTGCTCTCATTTCCTCCTTCCCCCTATCTTGAATTGGACAGTTGGATTTATGGACTATGTCTGTGAATTACCCAAATACTTAGGGTGGTATTGCTTTGCAGATAGTTGGCAGAGAGAGAAGTTGCCTACCATGGAGTCACCAGAGGAGCCTGGAGCATCTATGGATGAAAACTACTTTGTGAACTATACTTTCAAAGACCGCTCTCACTCAGGCCGAGTGGCTCAGGGCATTATGAAACTGTGTTTAGAGGAGGAGCTCTTTGCTGATGTCACCATTTCAGTGGAAGGCCGAGAGTTTCAGCTCCACCGGCTGGTCCTGTCAGCTCAGAGCTGCTTCTTCCGATCCATGTTCACTTCTAACCTGAAGGAGGCTCACAACCGGGTGATTGTGCTACAAGATGTCAGTGAGTCTGTTTTCCAGCTCCTGGTTGATTATATATACCACGGGACTGTGAAACTTCGAGCCGATGAGCTGCAGGAAATTTATGAGGTGTCAGACATGTATCAGCTGACATCTCTCTTTGAGGAATGTTCTCGGTTTTTGGCACGCACAGTACAAGTGGGAAACTGCCTTCAGGTGATGTGGCTCGCAGACAGGCACAGTGACCCTGAGCTCTACACTGCTGCCAAGCACTGTGCCAAGACCCACCTGGCCCAGCTGCAGAGCACGGAGGAGTTTCTCCACTTGCCCCACCATCTACTCACGGATATCATCTCAGGTAAGTTCACAGAGGGTCTTATCATACCCAGCTATGCAAGAGATGATGTTCAGGTTCAGGAGAACCTCAAGTTTAGGTAACTAACAGGTATCAGTTTATATTATCATCCCCGTCTGGGCAGAGATTTAGATGCAGGTGGAGGTTCAGTGTTGAGAATAGTGTAGCTGCTGTCAGAGACAGCATGCTTCACAGCAGCTAAAGAATAAAAGGCTGCACCACTTTCCCACAATAGGAAGTCAAGTGTCTGATGTCTTCATCAAGATGTCCTGTACCTTCAAGGCCTATAGGACTAGTTACTTAAATAAACTGATGGAGATGCTTATGAATCAAGATATCTGAAATAGGAAAACATTTGGGAATCAACTTTAGGTAACAATGCTGCTCTTGCCAGTGAGGTGGAACTATACTTTGAATGTGCACGGTATAGCCTGGTAGGTGACTGCTGAGGCATATGGGAGCATATTATGCCATCTCCTTTTCTTTTAAAAAGCAAGTCAGAGCTAGTGGTATAAATCACCACTAGTGGTGATAGAGCACTTCCCTGGTGTACATGAGACCCTGGGTTTGACCCCAACACTGCCAAATGCCAGTGGTAGGGCAATTTCAAGTTAACTTCATGTCTGTATTGGATACATACATAAACAGACACACTAATGGTGGTCTCATAAAGGGGCTCAAGTCCTTTTTTATTTTTTATTTTTTTCCTTTGAGACAGTGTCTCTTTACATAGCCCTGGCTGTCATGTATTTCACTATGTAGATCAGAATAGCCTTGAAATCTCAGTTATCTGCCTGGCTCTGCCTCCCAAGGGCGAGAATTAAAGGCATTGCTCTTCTACAGCCAGTTTATGGCTCAAGTCTTGAGAGTTCCTTTAAGATTGTCATTGATAAGGCTAGATAGATGGCTCAGTTGTTAAAAACATTTGTTGCTCTTGCCCTTGATATTCTTACAAAGGACCATGGTTCAATTCCCACAACCCATGTGGTAGCTTACAACCATCAGTAACTCCAGTTCCAGGGCATCTGATGCCATCTTCTGACCTTCATGGGCACCAGGCATGCATGTGGTGCACAGATATGTGCAGGCAAAACACTCATACATAAAATATTTTTTACAGAATTACAAAACAAACCCAGTAATATTGTCATTGACCATACTTTTCTTTTGGCTCTCACAGATGGGGTTCCATGTTCCCAGAACCCAACAGAGGCAATAGAAGCCTGGATCAATTTCAATAAAGAAGAAAGAGAAGCTTTTTCAGAGTCACTCAGGACTAGCTTGAAGGTAAAGATTGGGGTGCCATAATCTCTGTGTATTCTAGCCCTCAGTGGCCTTTTTTTCTTTCTTTTTTGGCAGGGGGAATGTGTGTCTCTTGGTGTTTGTGAGGCGGTCAGAGGACAACTTGCAGGAGTCAGTTCTCTTCTTCCACTATGGGGGTCACGAGGATCAAATACAAGTGCTCAGGCTTGGGGCAAGTGGCTTTACCTACTGAATCATCTCACCAGCCCAACCTGGCTGTGATTGTGAATGTGTGTGTGTGTGTGTGTATGTTTGCGCAAGTGTGTAGAGTTATAGATGTGCAGAAAGTAGGCTATCAGGGGTCTTCCTTGAGACAGTGTCTCTTACAGAAGTTTACCATTTTGGCTAGGCTGGTTAGCCAGTCAGCAAGCTTCCAGGATCTATTTCTCTCTGATCCCTTAAGCTGGTGTTATGCGCATGTACAACCATGTCCAACTTTTTCTGTGGCTACTGGAGATTTTGTAGGGATGCTCAGGTCCTCATGCTGTACATCAAGTGCCCTTCACTCCTTAAGCCATCTTCTAAGCCTCTGACCTGGCCTCTTTTGATAGCCAAAGAGTACCAGTTTGAAGTTAGTAAGAACTGGGGAATCAGATGTGTTTTTTTTTTTTTTCCCCCAGAGCTGAGGATTGAACCCAGGGCCTTGTGCTTGCTAGGCAGGCGCTCTCCCACTGAGCTAAATCCCCAACCCCCAGATGTGTTTTCTTATCCCACAAATCATCAGTCTGTGAGCTTCAAAGCTTTAAAGCTTTTGCTGTCTTCTTGAAATAACTGCTTTCATCGAGTTAAGCTTCAGTCAGATGTGGTGGTTCAGCGGTGCAGCAGTGTAGAGCTCAGGGTCACTGTGCCTGTCTGCGAGCCACATCACCTGAAGGCAGTTTCCCACTTGTACTGTGCGTGCCAAAACCCGAGAACATTTCTCAAGGAGAGACGTCAGCTGATACATGTCTGACACCTCATAAATCATCAGCTCATCAGCTCGAAGTTTCACGTTACCATGGGATAGGGACTGTGGACATGAAGGCAAGAGGATCAGCCTCAGCTACATACTTAGTTCAAGGCCAACATAGGCTATATAAGACTGTATTAAAAATATATATATATGGGATGTAAGTTCTGGTTTTAATTTCTAATATTAAAAATCAAAAAAGTAGGGCTGGAGAGATGGCTCAGAGTTTACGAGTACGGGTTGCTCTTCCAGAGGTCTTGAGTTCAGTTCCCAGCAACCACATGGTGGCTCACAACCATCTATAATGAGATCTGGTGCCCTCTTCTGGTGTGCAGGTGTACATGCAGACACAACATTGTATACGTAATAAATAAATTAAAAAATAAAAATTAAAATTAAAAAAAAAGAAAAACAAAAAAGTAAGAACAGATGTGATACATACCTATAATCCCCCTTGGAGGCTGAAGCAGAAGAATCTAAGTATGAACAGTTTGTGCATCATAGAAAGATCTTATTTGAATAAATATGTAAATAAATTGAATTGTAGGGATGAACAAAACAGATTCTCTGCCCTAGCATAAAATGCCCAGAAGAGAGTAGTTAGGGGAAAGTCAAGACATGAGGCCTGGACCTTTCAGGATACCTGTCTTAGAAGTCTTCATATGAGCTGATGTCATCATTTCAATTTTGCCAACAGGAAATTGGGGAGAATGTGCACATTTACCTTATCGGAAAAGAGTCATCTCGCACCCACTCATTGGCTGTGTCCTTGCACTGTGCAGAAGATGACTCCATCAGTGTAAGTGGCCAAAACAGCTTGTGCCACCAAATCACTGCAGCCTGCAAGCATGGTGGAGACTTGTATGTAGTGGGAGGGTCCATCCCACGGCGCATGTGGAAATGTAACAATGCCACCGTTGACTGGGAGTGGTGTGCTCCTTTGCCCCGGGACCGCCTCCAGCACACCCTGGTATCTGTGCCAGGGAAAGATGCCATATATTCACTGGGTGGCAAGACACTACAGGATACCCTTTCCAATGCAGTCATCTACTACCGGGTAGGTGATAACGTGTGGACAGAGACCACTCAGTTAGAGGTGGCTGTATCTGGGGCTGCTGGGGCCAACCTCAACGGAATCATCTACTTACTAGGGGGCGAGGAGAATGATCTAGACTTCTTTACCAAACCTTCCCGACTTATCCAGTGCTTTGACACAGAAACTGACAAGTGCCATGTGAAGCCCTATGTACTGCCTTTTGCAGGCCGCATGCACGCAGCAGTACATAAGGATCTGGTGTTTATTGTGGCTGAGGGGGACTCTCTGGTGTGCTATAATCCCCTTCTAGACAGCTTCACCCGGCTCTGTCTTCCCGAGGCCTGGAGCTCTGCCCCATCCCTCTGGAAGATTGCCAGCTGTAATGGAAGCATCTATGTCTTCAGGGATCGCTATAAGAAGGGGGATGCCAACACCTATAAACTCGACCCTGCCACTTCAGCTGTAACTGTCACAAGAGGCGTTAAGGTGCTGCTCACCAACTTGCAGTTTGTGCTGGCCTGAGACAGTGATGGGAAGATCAGCTAACCCCTGCGCCCTCCCCTCTTCTGTGCATACCCGGTCAAATCTGAAACACCCCCACCCCAGCTCAGAGTAATGTGTTAGTTTGGGCATACATGAGGAAGGCAGCCCCTCAGCCTGCCCCCAGGCTCATGGGGTGCTCTGTTTAGGGCTTTTCACACTACTGCTGCTTGAACTCTGCCATTATCCCCTGTGATCCTGTGCCTCACTTCAGACTGCTTAGAGCCAACCTCTTCTCAGATTTAGGCACGGCCTCCCCTTACCAGATCAGTGTTAAAAAGAAGCACCTTGGTTCCCATGCAGAAAGAAAGTGGCCCATTCCTTTTGTTTGTAGCCAGCAAAGCCACTTTTCCACAAAGAATTAAGTATTAGAGTTTTCCTTCAGGATTTGGATGGGATGGTGGACTAAGCTAAAAATGTACTTCACCAGCAAGAATCAACTTGAGAATTCAGGATGTTCCTTCTGATGTTTCCTCATCTCTTGTCGGGAAAAGAAACTGTGGTTTGATTTTTGGCTTATATAAACAGATAAGCCAGAAAGTAGAAACAATTATTTCTGATTAATAGCAGAAACTGTTTTCCAAACTCAAATATATACAATCGCTGGTCTTTTAAAAACTCTAAGCTAAATCAAGAGTTAGGAACTGTTCATACCAATAAAAGTTTTTGAAATTATGTGTGTGTCTGTGCTGACTTCTGAAGGGAAACTGATTATAGACTCTACACTGCTGAGCCAGCCACCCTGCCTGTACCCCATACATCCTTTAACATTCTGACCACTGCTCCAGAAGTGTGAGGAGTCCCACAGGGATTGTTTTTATTTTTATTTTTGGAAGTGCTAGGGACCAACTTCAGGGACTTACACATGCTGGGCAAGCATTTTGCCAAGTCATACAATTGAATGACAGTAACAATAGATCTAAGTATTTCTTTCCTTTTCTAGCATTAAATGTCTTTGAGTTATGGTACCGTTATACAAAATATTAGATACACAGTAGATTTCTGTTAAAATTAATATTTCCTTGACCCTGTTGAAGAAAGTAACATTTAGCCAGACAATCTTGCTCTCTGCAGCCATCCAAGTGTTACTTCAGGAAGGAAGGCAAAGGAGGCACATTACTACTCAGCACATTTGCAGTATTGTCCTGGCCTAAGCCCTTTGTCCTTTAAACTTTCTACTGTAGCTCAGGGAGAGCCAAGTTCTTTGTCATCCACAGATTTCATATTCCTAATATATCAGCGTGAGAGATGTCAGCAGTTAGTTCTTCGCTGCCCTTGCAGCGATCTCCTTGTGGAACTCTTTGAGAACTTCCAACTGGTTGGGCCTGATGGAAATGTGTGGCCGGATTCTGGCGATAGCTTCTATAGCCTCTTCTGGGCTCCAGTTGTGCACCTGAAGTACAAGGTTAGAAAATCAGCCAAGAAAGGAAGGAGCAGGAATAACAATGCTTTTGGCCTATGAGTAGGGGCTGAAGGACTCTCGGGATTAATTTTTTAAAAGACTTATGCTAGCAAGGTAGCTCAGTTGGTAAAGGTACTTGCTGCCAAGGATGACAACCATCACCAGAGTTTGGTCCCAGGAATTGCTATAATGAGAGAACTAATTCTAATTCCTGTGAGTTGTCCTCTGACCTCCACATGAGTGCCATGCCCACATGCACTTGCACATACAAATAAAATAAATAATATGCAATCACATTTGTCCAGGTAAATGAGGACTCCATATTAGAGGGCTTTGAAATTCCTGCTCCAAGTTGGCTACAGTGGCACAGGCCTGTAATCCCAGCACCCTAGAAGGCAGAGGCAGGTGGATCTCTGTGAGTTCGAGGCCAGCCTGGTCTACAAGGTGAGTCCAGGACAGCCAAGGCTACACAGAGAAATCCTGTCTCAAAACAAAAGGACACATTCTCTGAGAGCACTTTTAACTACCTATAAGTAATTCTTACTCTGTCAAATAATGAAGAGTCGAACCCATGAAGCTGAAACCCCAGATTTCCCAGGTCTACTCTGTCCTTTTGAAGCTGGAATTTTATTAAGAATTTATAGAAGTTGGTGTAGCTCAGTGGTAAAGTGCTTGCCAGGCTTGAATGAAGCATTGTGTTCAAGACCCAGCACCTTATACACTGGGTACCTTGACATAGTGTGTAACTTGGGAGGGGAGGCAGGAGGATTAGAATTCAAGGCCATCCTCACTGACATAATTGGCTTTGAGACCATCCTACAATACATGAGCCTGACAAAGCACACACACAAAAATTTTTAAGAGCGTATGGTAGGGCTGGAGCGATGGCTCAGAGTTTAAGAACACTTGCTGTTCTTCCAAAGCTTCTGAGTTCAATTCCCAGCAACCACATGGTGGCTCATAACCATCTCTAGTAAGATCTGGTGTACAGGCAGAATGTTGTATAAATAATAAATCTTTAAAAAAAAAAAAAAAAAGAGCATATGGTAGCTGCTTTTCTGCACTTCATAACAATAGCTAGAAAAATTAGCACTTTTTAAATTTAAGAGAGTTACCTTTGTATTTTAAGGATACATACTGATTTAGAACCCAACAGGATTAAAACAGCTTTAGCCTGCTGGGTCAGTTCTCATTTGGACCAAATACCTTCCTAGATTACTTCTAGCAGATTGACACGGTCTCACTATATATGCCTGGTTGACCTGGAACTCAGGCTATGTAGAAAAGTTGGCTGTAAACTTGCAGATCCTCTGACTGCACAGATGTTAGGGTCATAGGTGTGCACCACCATACCCAGCTTCCAGCAGAATCTTTTAATAGCTTTGGTATAGTTCAGTCACATTTAGTCCATTATACTTCCTTAAACTACCCACTTGACTGGAAATACTATGCAAGAACCAGACTATTAGCAAAAATGAGTCAAGCTGGACAGGAAAAGGCAGTACAGAATGATAAAGGACTATAAAGCATTTGCTTCTAAATATTTTTTTAAAGCACCCTGGTTGAATAATTCTTTTTCCTCATTATCAGGGAATAAAGTCAGGGCCTCACACATGCTGGGCAGGCACTCTGCTGCTGAGCAATGGCCCCAGTTTTATTACACAAAATAAGTAACTATGGTAAAACAACAAAAACTAATGTATTCAGAACTTTACCCTGAAATGCTATAAAGCTAGAGGGATCATCACTAGTATTTGTAACCCCGAATTCTCTGACTTGCTATTTTGGGCCATGAACTCATTACACAGCCCTGTAGCTGAGGATGACAAAGTTCTCCCTCCTGCTTCCATCTGCCACGTGCAGGTCACCACACAGTTTTTTTGCCTAATGGACACTAGGTAAGCCCTCTACTTCTTGAACTAGCATCCTGCCATGCTACTTAAAGCAAGTGTTCTGGCCAGGTATGGTGGTGCATTCCTGTAACCCCTGTAATCCCAGCATAGGGGGCAGAGGCAGGATTGCTGCAAGCCTCAGTTACACAGTATAATCTCTACAGTAAACTCCAGGCCAGTCAGGGCTATATAACAATACACTATCTCAAACAAACAAAAAATATGGCTCTTTCAGTGTTCTGTTGGGTCAAACACTTTAAAATTCCTTTATTTTTGTAGATCTGCTGTAGGCAAGCACGTTGACATACCTTCTCATTTAAGTTTCCTGTCATATTTAAGCTAAGGAAACATCAGAGAGGAGATAAAGGACACATTTATCTTTCCTGATTAGTAAGGGCAGAAGGAGAAGCTGACCCAGGCACAAAGCGTGGGGTCTGGCACGAAGCCACACTACCTTCTGAAAGCCTGGAAGTGGGTAATGGCTCTCCAGCGAGGCCTGCCAGTAAACCATGCTACTGAGCTTTGGGAAATCTATTACAAGGCTACTCCAGTGCTATTTCCCCACCTGAATCAGATAGGCTGCCACCATCGTGGCACTTCTGGATCGGCCAGCCTTACAATGCACGTAGACACACTGGCCCAGTGACTGATACTTCAGAGCAAACTGGACTCCTCTGTGGAGGTTGGTCAAGGTAGGAACCCCAGTCATGTCGACGGTGCTAAGCCGTAGCTGTTCAACTCCTGCTTTCTTCCATTCCTAGAATTCCAGGTCCACCAGCATAAAAAGGAAAATCAAAGAAGCTTGAGGTGAATGTTTTGAAGAGGAGATTCCCAGGCAGCAAAACAACAAGCAAGCTCCAGGGGTTACTCTCAAAAACAGAAATGCTGTTAAAACAGCTAACCTTCCGTTAAGCAGACGCAATGCTATTAGAAGAACATTCAAGAAGGGCTGGAGAGATGGCTCGGTAGGTAAGAGCACTGTCTGCTTTCCCCCAAGGACCCAGGTTCAATTCCCAGCACCCACATGGCAGCTCACAACTGTCTGTAACCCCAATTCCAAGGGATCTAACACCTTCACACTAAAGCACATAAAATAAAGTTAAATATTTTTTTTTAAAAAGTATTTCAAATATTCTCTAGATGCTTCAATCTTTAGTTGCAAAAATAATAGCTCCATAAAATCAGCTGTGGGTCTGCAGAGACAGCTCCGTGGGGAAAAGCACTTACTGCTCTTGCAAAAAGACCACCTGAGTTCAGTTTCCAGTACCCCACCGGAAGGCTTACAGTCATCTGTGAGCAATGACCCACAGTCAGGCTTGCTTGCAAAACTAAGCCCAGCGCTTGGGAGGCAAAGGTGCCAGGGTCTCTAGGAATCTGAGTCTACAGAACGAGTTCCTCAGTCTCACAAAACAAAAATACCAGAACAATAAAATTAAGTTTAAAAAAAATCTGCAGAAGTTATGGGGCTGAAGGCTGTAGGTCAGTGGCGTGGTGCCTGGCAAGGGAAGTCCCAAGATTCCCATCACTTCAATAACGGTATGAAGCTGTGTTTTTGCCTATTTAGGACCTGCACAGTGATCAAGCTGTAGGCAAAGTAATACATTTGACCCTAAGTGCATAAATATCTTTACCCCCTTTTAGAGGGGTAGATAGTAAAATAAATAGGGTTATTTATTTTAAAATTTAAAACAACACACTTTAGACAGGAGTGGAGTCTCATGCCTAAAACCCCAATTCTAGGATAACTGGAGCAGGAGGATACATGCTGTAAGTGGAGTTCAAGGCTAGTCTAACACAGAATAAGACTCCCTTCACCCCTTAAAAAAAAAAAAAAAAAAAAAACCCTACCTGCGTTTGTGTAATATTATTTGAGAAAACACAGAAATAAAGCCTTTGCCGTATTAGGCAACAGTGTTTTCGCTTTAAGACTTCAAATCCACTTAGCTACTTTTACTAGCTTTGTTGTTGTTGGTTTGTAAATAAGGTTTCATAAGACCAGAGTGATCTCAGTTCTCACTATAGATAAATCATGTTTGAGCACACATTTTTTTATGATATGAAATTAACTTGGAATAAACCCTTTATTCTAGTGGTGGGTGCATAGGCAAAAGCTTTAATCTGAAATTACTTTTTAAAACATCATGCAGCTATGATAAGACAGACTGGGAAGGAAGCCAAGGAAGCCTAGGATCTGATGTTCCTGCCTCAGCTTCCTGAGTGCTGAAATTACAGGTGTGCTCCTCCATCTCAAGCCCTCCATACCTTTAGCTAGTCCCTGAAATTTAATGACTGCAGGAAGGCCAGTTTAACCCCATAACAAAAACCTGAAAGCACATTTTTGCTTGTATATCAATTGAACCAGAACCAGTCTGAGAGTTGTTATACTCAGGTAAGTCCTGAGTCAGAACGTCTGGGGGCTGGAGGTAGGATCTGCTACTTCGGCAAGGTTACCAGAAGATCCTTGTGCTTCACATGGACAGACCAAGCACACTGTCTGTGTGCCTTCCTCTCTGCTTAGACTAGACAGCTAATGACCCCTCGAGACCTGTGACAATACTTTGGGAAATTCAAGTATCACTGATGTATCCCACCCCCTTTTCCTTTACTATAAAGGACCTCATATAGCTCAGGTTAGCCTGGAACTCATATGTGGCCCAGGAGGAGCTTGAATACCTGAATACCTGACTTTTTTTTTTTTTTTTTTTTTTGGCTTTTCAAGACAGGGTTACTCTGTGTAGCCTTGGCTGTCCTGGTCTCACTTTGTAGACCAAGCTGGCCTTTAACTCAGAGCTCTGCATGCCCCTGCCTCCCTGAGCGCTGAGATTACTGGTGTGAGCCACTACGCCCAACTATCACTCTACAGCTTTTCAATAATTACTAACAAGATATGGGGTCGCTCTTCTTTTTTACTTTTTTTTTTTTCGAGGGTGTAGTGGCAGTGTTTCAAGGCAGGATCCCATTATGTAGCTGTGGCTGACCTTGAACTCACTGTGTAGATTAGGCAGGCCTTAAACTCACAGAGATCCGCCTGCCTCTGCCTCCAGAGCGCTGGAGTTAAAACCGTGCACCACTATGCCTGGCTGGAGCGAGGATGTGCTTTTCTCATCTGTGTGGTTTTGTTTTTAGATACAGGCTCCTGCAGCCCGGGCTGGCCTCCGCCTCACTACACACTGTGGCTGGTCTCACGTTCTCGGTCCTCCCACCCTCACTCTGGTCTGAGGCTCTCCCCTTAAGGAAGTGCTTTCCTTACAGTTAGCCTTCATCTCCAAAGGCTAATACATTGCCTAATTCATATTTGATGCTAAAATCTGCTCAATGAATGAAATCAGCAAAGCGCATAAACCACAATTTTAGTTACTGAGGTTAGTGACCAAGATCACAAATACAAGCTGGGTGTACTAGCACATGACCGTAATCTCGGTACTTGGGAAGTGGGGGCAGGAGAATCAAATCAAATTCATCATCGACTCAAGACCCTGCCTCAGAATAAACAAAAGTAACATACACGTGTACAATTATGTGCCTAAAGACCTCACCCCTCGTACCGATTTTGAAGCAGGATTTCCCTGTGCCCAGACTGGCACGGAACTCACTACATAAGGCCAAGCGGGCCGGGAACTCCCAGCGATCCTTCCGCTTGCCTGTGCATGCTGGAACTGCAGGAGTGAGCCACCCACACCCCGGGTTAGCTCGCTCTCTTTTACTGACAGTGGCCGGGGCCCTTCGAACTCCTGGGATCAAAAAGATCCTGCCTCAGCCACCCGAGTCACCGGGGCCCTAGGCTCGCAAGACTTCTTTCTGGTTTATCAACTTCAGCCGCTTTCCACCTGCAGCCATTGAAACTGGATGCGCATACTCAGTGCTTGAGAAAGCAACCAGGTCTCCAGAGACAAGGTCATCCGCTGCGTCCCTCCCTCCCCTTAGCTTCTCCAGCTTTCACAGGCCCGACTGCCGGGCCAGGCTGGAGGCCCGGGTCCTCACCTTGGCGGTGTTGCACAGGAATCTAGTCTCGTACTCCTCGTTCATGGTGATCACCCCGCGTACGTTCTCGTCCAGTACCAGCTGCCGAGGCAAAGAGGGGGCTCAGCGAGGGCCGAAGGGCGCCAGCCGGGGCCCGGGGCCCGCTCCCGGCCCGACCCGGCGGCCTCTCTCACCCGGCGCGTCATGCTCCGCAGCGGCAGCGCGCCCAGCAGCACCGTGGTGTCGATGCGGTGGTACCAGTCCCGGTGCGCCCGACCGCGCACCCTCCCGCGGAACACGGTGTAGAGCAGCGTCGGGTAGAAGAGCACCCGGGCCAGGCCGGCCTCCAGCCACGCGGACGCCGCCATCCTGCCCCACCCCGCCAGGCCCAGCGGCGAACCGCCCGCCCCCGGGCTCGCGGCCAGCCACCGCGAGGAGGTCGCGGAGGACGAGGGCTGCCGGCCGCCCGGCTCCCCCCGACCCTCCGAAGCCGGGTCCCCGCGGTCCCGACCGGGTTTCGGGAATTCCGGGACCGGAACCATGGTTTGGGAGGGGAACCCCGCGTGGGTGGGGCGGGGCGGGGGAGGGTGGGGTGAAGGGTGGGGTGAGGGACTGGAACAGCAAGGAGAGAAACTGTGACCCTGCCTAGGAAGGAGGGCCCTCTCTCCAACCCTTGACCTCAGAAAGGGGCCGTGACCCCGGGAGCACGCAACACCAAAGAGGAAGCTGGGCAGAGAGACTCCTCTAAGCCGGACGAGGCCCTGGAGGATGCGATGTAAAATGAGCTGCAGTTGGCAGGACCTGGTCTGCCGTGGAGATGTCTACAGTCTAGTCTTTTTTTCTTTTTCGAGACCAGGTATCGAAATGTGTAGCCCTAAATGCCTCTACTGGCTTTGTAAAGTAGGCTGGCCCAGAACACAAGAAAGAGATCCTCCTGCCTCTGCCTTCCCGGTGCTGGGATTAATGATATTCGTCACCACTCTGAGAATCTCCTTCCTCTTCTTACCATTAAATCCACCACCACCCCTAGTCCTGACCAAAGCAGAATATACATAGTATGAAAAATAAATATTAAAAATAATTTTTTCATAGCACTATTGTCTATTTTTTCTGTATCCCCAATTCTTTCACTAGAAGAAATATATTAAAGCTATACTTATTTTATGTATATGAACACTGTTTTGTGGTGCACAGCAGAAGAGGGAATCAGATTCCATTACAGATGGTTGTGAGCCACCATGTGGTTGCTGGGAATTGAACTACAGGTCTTCTGGAAGAACAGCCAGTGCTCTTAACTGCTGAGCCATCTCTCCAGCCCCTGGCTCACGCTTTTAATCCCAGCACTTGGAAGGCAGAGGCAGGCAGACCTTTCTGAGTTGAGATTGAGGCTGGCCTGGTTTACATAGAGAGTTGCAGGACAGCTAGAACTGCATAGTGAGACCCTAACTTGTCTCGAAACACACCACACACACACACACACATGAAATAACTCTAGTATAAGCCAGGCACACAAATGCCCGTAGTCCCAGATATTCAGAAGGCTGAAGCAAAAGAATCCCTTGACTCCAGATATTAAAGACAAGAGAGATGTCTTAGTGGTTAAGAGTGCTTTGTGCTCTTCCAGAAGATCTGGGTTTGACTCCTAGCACCCACATGGAGACTCTCAACCATATGTAACTCCAGTTCCAAGGGACCCAAAGGCCACAGCCATCCTGTCTTTAATCTGTACAGTTCAGTGATTATTAATACACTCTTGCGGTTATATCATCAGCACTATGTAATTTTAGGACATTTTCACCTTCAAATGAACTCTTATACACGTCAGCAATCATACCTAATTCCTCATCTGCTGGTACCCACTAACCTACTTTGTGTGGATTTGACTATTCTGGCATATACATGGATTCAGGTAATATATAGTCGATGCATACTCGTTACACAAATGAAAGTAACTGTAATAACTTTTTGAGACAGTGTTTGTGTAGCCCTGGCTGTCAGGAGTTCAGTCCATAGACCAGGCTACTCTGGAACTCACAGCAAACCACCTGCCTCTGCCTCCCTGAGTGCTGGGATCAAAGGTGTGCGCCACCACTTCCTCAGAGATTTTTGTACCATAGAACTTTCCAGCATTTTCTTATGAGCAGCTAGCTCTGTAGCTAAAGGTGTGTGCCAGCATGTCCAGCTGGCAGTATATTATTCTTTTAAATTTATTTTATGTATATGATTGTCTTATCTGCATGTATGTCTGTGTGCCACATGTATGCCTGGTTTCCAAAGAGACCAGAGGAAGGCATTGGACCCCTGGAACTGAAGTTACGGATAATTTCTATGATTTGGTGCTGAGAACCAAACCTGGGTCTTCTCCAAGAGCACAAGAGCTCTCAATGGCTGAGCCATCCCTCCAGTCCTCCCATTCTATTTCTAATGCACTTAAAATACATGTGTTTTGTAAAAATTGATATTCTATTTACTGTTTAGTAACCTGCTTTTTTTTTTTTTTTTTATCAAGGATGCTCATGAATAGTGTGTCATTTCAGTGCAGATATATGGTTTTCAAAAGGCTGGTCTGGGCATGGTGGCCAGCATGTAATACCAGCACTTGGGAGGCAGAGGCAGGAGAAAGAAACAGATCATCCTCAGCTATAATATATTATGTGTAATATATTATATATATTTCTTTCTCAAAAAAAATGTAATCATACCATTATCCTCAGTATAATGAGTCTGAGGACAGGTTGGACTACCTAAACCCCAAGGAAGAAAGACAGGTGTGGAAGGTGGGAAAAAAAAGAAATGTATTCTCAGTGGAGCTGGCCCTAATGGCAAAGGCACTGGTGAGCCGGCCCGAGGGTATGAGAACAGGAAACTAACCTCTTGGGGCCTATAGTACTTGGGAGAGCGGGGCCCGAACCTCCATTGGGCAGTACAGTGGGGCTAGCTCTAGTGGTAGAGTGTGAGTGACCGCCCCCCCTCCCCAGGGCATGAAAGTGAGTTTCCTGCCAGCTGAAGCATTGGGTGAGCTAGTCCAGGGCCAGTGCTGGAGAGTTGCCCTGGTGGTTTGGGTGCAAGAGAGTTAGCAGACTGACCAACTCAGCTACCATCCACACCCAGGTCCCAGGATTACAGTTGGCCCACCCCAAAAGCTAGCTCCTCTATGAACTGTTAGAATGCATAAAAAGGCTGGCCCTGCTGATCCAAAGCTGCAGGATCTCCACGACACAGGTCAACAACAGGATAACGGACAGGAGTCCTGTGAAGATCCAATTCATGGTGTAGCAAAACCAGACCAATGACTAATTGCAATGAACATTTTCGAGTAAAGATGTGGACAGAGGGGTATACTGTGGGACACACTGTGACACACTACAGATTCCAAGATGAAATGTTTTTCATGCTTTGTTTTGTTTTTACATAGTAAAATTCTTGTTTTTCTTTTGAGGAGGAGGTTGCAAGGGCAAAAGGGTGAATATGAAGGGATGGGGAGAGGAGTGGGAATGTGACACATGATGTGAAAGTCACAAAGAATCAATAAAAAGTTCTTGTTTTTTTTTTAAAGATTTATTTACTTATTTATTATGTATACGATGTTCTGTCTGCATGTACACCTGCAGGTCAGAAGAGAGTGCCAGATCTCATTATAGATGGTTGTGAGCCACACATGTGGCTGCTGGGAATTGAACTCCGGACTTTTAGGAAGAGCAGCCAGTGCTCTTACCCTCCGATCCATACCTCCAGCCCCAATAAAAAGTTTTTTAAAAAAAATGTGTTGCATAGTCTGAATGTTTCAGACACTTTTTTTTTTTTTTTTTTGCTTTATCAGTGAACAAAATGGGAAAGGATTCCTGCCCTCTTTTCTTCTTTGAATTGCATTTCAGAATAAATATCGTTTTGCTAATGAAAAGTTCTCTTTTGTGTTTTTTGTTTGTTTTTGTTTTTTGAGACAGAGTTTCTCTCTGTAGCCTTGACTGTCCTTGTACTAGATCTGTAGACCAGGCTGACCTGGAACTTATAGAGATCCGCCAGCCTCTGCCTCCCAAGTGCTGATTAAAGGTGGCTCATTAAAGGCATGAGCCTTTAACTTGCTAAAAGTTCTTTATAAAGGAAGAAGAAATGACACAATTAACAAACTCAACATTTGGGGTTGGAGAGATGGCTCAGCAGTGGTGAACACTAGCTGCTCTTTCAGAGGACCCAGGTTCGATTCTCAGCATTCATAGCTGTTGGCATACTTTTTTTAAAAAAACGTTTACTCACATTTTTTTTTCTTTTTCTCTCTACTCCATTCCAATCCCTTCCAGCACCCCAATACCAGGTAGGAGAGTGAAAGGGTTAGTGGGAGAGGGGGCACAGTTCTCTTAGCTGCTTCCTGCTGGTTAGGGTTGTCAGGTTTCTTGGAGCCATTCCAACCCTTGTTTCAGGAGATCTCCGTCTTCTTGTCTCAACAGCAAGCAGGAGCAGAAAGGAGGAAACGGGAGAAGGCTTGTTCTTTATCTGGGCTCTGGCATTCTCTCTCTAGAGTTCTCAGATTTAAACTACCTGTAGCTGGCAAAGAGCTCTTAGAGGCCGCATGAGGCAAACAGTCTGCTGCTATGGACCATCTGAATCAGTCCCACATCCCACACCAAAACAAAAACATGTTTATAGCCAAAACATAGGGTGGCTCCTGACCTTCGTTCCAGAGCATGTACATGGTGCACATATATACATACATGCAGAAAAACACCCATACACACAAAATAAAACCTTTTTGTATTTATTTAGAGACAGGGTTTCTCTGTGTAGCCTTGGCTGTCCTGGATTCATTTTGTGGACCAGGCTGGCCTTGAACAACCAGAGATCTGCCAGTCTCTGCCTCCCTGAGTGCTGGGATTACAGGTGAGCACCACCACCATGTCTGGTTAAAACAAATCTGAAAACAGAACAAAACTCAGCATTTGGAACTGGAGCATTAGCTCAGTGATAAAGAGTACTTGTTGCTTATGCAGGGGACCTGGGGTCAGTTCCAGACACCTCCGTGGCAGGTCATAATCTGTAATTTCAGTTCAGGGGAGATCTGACATTCTTCTGATCTGTGTGAGCACTGTGTACATGCAAGCAAAACACTCATGCATATAAAATAAAAAAAAAAATCTTTGGGAGCTGGAGAGATGGCTCAGTGGTTAAGAGCACCGCCTGCTCTTCCAAAGGACCTGGGTTCAATTCCCAGCAACCACATGGCCGCTCACAACCATCTGTAATGCCAACTCCAAGGGATCTGATACATTCACACTAATGCACAATTAAAAAAAATACATTAAAAAATCTTTAAAACTCAGTATTTTGTGTCCTTTAGTAAAATAATTGATCTAGTCAGTAATCTTCAATGGATAAGAATAGAAGAAACACTGACAGTGAAAGGGTGTGTTACAGCAACACACACACACACACACACACTCTCTCCTCATGATAGAATGCAGTGTCTGAGTTCTTGATACCATCCTCCAAAACTTGAATGGAAATATAGTCAGGCTTCAAGTCCAACTTGCTTTTTTAAAATTTATTTTAATTTTTTTAATGTACATTAT